TGTATTTGTCTTTCTAACAGCTTTTTTATTGTTTCTTCCCCTCCCGGGTTTCCGGAGAGATGGAAGCAGGGGTTATGGATTTTAAAATAATTTTATTGAGCATTTACACTGGCAACACACATCAGAACAATCGGGTGGCCCAAGGGGGGGATCCGCTGATGGTCCCAACTCGTGTCCTGCTGGCACGCCCCACGCCCAGGAAGCAGGACCTGAGAGAGAGAGAGAGAGAGAGAGAGAGAGAGAGAGAGAGAGAGAGAGAGAGAAGGTGATTAGTACAGACAAGATAAGACATTATGCAGCACAATTCAATAAAGTTTTTCAATAATGTAGAAAAAATATCACATATTAATACTAATAATACACTCACTCTCTCTGGAGATGCTGAACATGTGGTACATGCAGTCAGAGTGAACACTGCCTACAACCTGATGCACACATTATCTGCACTAATAGGACACAATCTGAGCTTCAAGGACAACATACATGAGCTCCAAACCATTAACTGTGCAAGAAATGAACAAGTTTGAACAACACTTGCTTCTCTCATGCAGAAAATACCTGGCTCTTCTTCTTCTTCTCTGGATTTACTTGCAGATCACAAACAACTTCAAGGTGCACGTCGCCACCTACAGCACAGGAGTGTGTAACATCATGTCATCTATCTGCCTTTCTGCCTCAGTGCCAACCTACTGGGCTCTGAACTAACCAACATACCACTGTGAGATATTCACTCACCCATCATGCAACACAGCTCCAGGGGTCGGCACAGCAGCTGCAGTGGTTCCTTCCACCAGCACTCAGCTGAGTCTTCCTCTGCCTGGTTCTTGGTTCATCTGGATTAGAAGCAGAGGGTTATGGGATGTATTACCATGAGAATATGGCATTTTACTCAAATGTTTAAACTTGTTTTTGTTTTTTTGGTTGTCAGCCTTCAAATGATCAAAATGCAGCATATAAACCTTAAAGCGTGAACAAGGACTACAGATGACAATCAGCAGTGGATAGTAAGGACAAGGTCAGCTCTCTGCACACAGAGAAGTGCAACTAAAATCAAGTTGTTTATTACTTGCATAGTAAAACCAGAGATCTTCTCAGTGTTTACACATTATTCTTTATAAGCTCTGATGCAGACAATGTATGTTTGCTGCTTACTTTGAGTTCTGTTACAATCACACCAGAATTATGTGGCAGTATTGAATGCTTTTAGTTTTTATTATTGCTTCTCTACTTCCAGACTGACGCAGTTAAACTCCATGAGTACAGTCGGATTAAAAACCTCCCAGTCTTTGAAGACACTAAATATTACATCATTCTCCTGATTAACAAAGTGAGTGTGTCTTGAAGAAGAATTTAGGTGATTTATTTCATAGATATTTCATATTATATTCAAAACTGCACAATGAACTCAAAGAAGTTTGTGTAAAAGCAGCGATTTGGATGAATTTGGGGCAGATTATTTCCTGTTCAGGGAACTTTTTTATGAAATTCTTCTTGTATTTTATTAGTAGCTAAAAGACTTATTATTTCATCCTTATTAATCTTCTGCTATGTTGCACCAAATGTAAAAAATCAATTACAATTTTTTGGTTCAATGAAGAGTGCCCTCCAGTGGTCAGTGTGAACAACTGCAGCACTATATAACATTAAGTGTTGTATAACTTATTGCTGATTATTGACCAAGGTTCATGTAACTCATAACTCTTGACACTACTATATCATTCATTATCAACAATATACACACATTAGTATGACTCACATATGTGTCTGCAAACTATAAAGGACTCATGTAAGACACAAGCAATATATGTTAAACAATACAGCAAAGAGTGAGATTCAGTCATTACATTCCTCATCCCTGATACAAGAGCAATGGAAGAGAGCCTGGAAGTCCAGCAGCTGGCACCACAATTTCTTTCATTTGTGGGAAAACAACCAAAGGAAATTGTTATTTTCTTTAAAGTTTAGATGATTATTTAAGCTGTAAACTTTACTGAACAGCCTGGTCCTGCATGAGAAGAGTGCAGCAGGTTTGCAATTAACATTATATGAAAGTGTGTTTTTAGGAACCACTAAATGATGTATTTGGATATTTACTGAAGGTGATATTGGGGTTCTTCAATCCGTACAATTACAGGAATAACTGTCAGACTTTGTGGCTTACTGTATCACATCAGAAGGAGAGTTTTTATCAGCTGTGTCTCTGATTATTCCTCAAGAATAAAGACAAACTCCACTTTGTTCCTGTCAGATACAGTGATGGAATAATTCAATCAATCGGCCATTAATCAATAATAATCAGTGGTTGGACCTCTCCATTAGTGTACATTAGGCACAGCTTCATTTATTACCTACCAACATGTAGTTGTGTCATATAGTCCAGAATTATTGCAGTAAACCATAAAGCTACAACTAATGATTGACTATTGATTATATATATATAAGTGTTACTGCAGTGTTTAATCAGTTAGTGATGTGAGACAATGACAGCAATGTGAATAATGATCTTAATCAAGCATATTTATTATTATTTATATGGAAGGGAGTCTCTAACGTGGGGGAGAGTCACTGGTACACTAGAGGGGGAGTGCTGGGAATACTGGGAATACCAAAGTGTGCAAAGGGGGAAACAAGACTTTTTTGAAGCATGTTTTATATTAGGGTATATTTATTGATTTTAAAAGGGTTTCTATGTCCTGAGTTAATTATATATATTATAGATAGACTTCAATTTCTGTCTTTGTTTTTTATTACACAACTGTCACAGCATGTTTCTATTCAACATAGACTACTGAAAAAATTGAAATGTGTTTTATTAAAATGTTTCACTCATTCAGTCGATCACAGTAACAAAAGTGTCAGGATTTTTGTGAAAGTATAAAGTATATAATGTATATAAACAGAGGGTGCTACATTATGCAGTGTACAACTGTGAAATCTCCCCAAAACATTTAGTGATTCTTCTCCACCCTAAATCCAAAAGTTAAAATGTAAAGGAAGTGCAAACAATGAGTAAACTGAACATAAAAATATCAGTAAGAGATTTATACAAAGTGCAACAAGAACAGATTGTTAATATTGTTAAGTGTTAAAATACAAAAAAGGTTTGTGACGCCACGGTGAGACAATTTTGTAAACACATTCAGACATTTTCCTTTTGGTCAAGATTCACATTTAAAATTCAATAATATTGCATCAATATATATTTATATATATATGCATGTATGCACACTTAATAGTTAGCTTTGTGCACCAATACATACAATCATTTCTCACTTGTAAAAATTAGACCAAATGTGCCCAAACGAACAGGGACTGATTACATTTTAGCAGCATCTTGTCGCCAGAGGGAAAACCTGATTAGTCAAAAAATGTTATTCAAAATAAATATATAAATAAATAAAAACTGGCAGCCTCTTTAGCAGGTGAGTATTACCAGTACCCTACAGACAGGGGTTTATTGCACAAGAGCAACAGGGAACGCCTCCCCCGTGGCACAGACCCAACTCAAGCTGTCAGTAAAATGAGACCTGACATGCACTCACTCAAAATCCAGGAAGAAAAACAACCAGCCTTCCCCGAAGAGATTCTGCATAAAATTGAATGGATGACATGAGAGATCAGATCAGCTCTGAACTTTTCTGTGCAGGATCTCAGATGTAAGGTCAACTTAACAGTTCACTTTGTTTTTGGTCAAACCCATTCAAATATCCTCTTTTTATGTTGAAGTGTAGTGATTTACCCCAGCCTGCTGAAAATCAGCTGATAATACAGACAAAGGGCAAAGTCACAAAGACAAAGGGTGTGAATGAGCCCAGTCACATGTGCAGGTACACAGGCTGCTCAATCAGATCTGATGTTGCCATTTAAAGACACGCTTTGTGAAAGCAATGGAGCACAAAACAAAGTGAATTTGGGACATTAGCAGTTTTTTTATCCCCTCTGATTGATGCTCAGTGTAAATGAACAAGCCCGCAGCCATGCTAGCAGCTCTGTTAAGCTGTGATTGTGGGACTGACGTAGGCGGTGGCTTTCAGTGGTTGGCGTGACAACGAGGTGAAGTTCCCAACGCTCTGGACCCTGTTCTGCAGCTGTCCTGGGGAAGGGACTGGGTGAACAGATGTACAAGCAGAAAAGAAAGCTGAATTAGTGATCCTGCTGCATAATAACACACTTTCATTATAAAAAACAAAAACACTTGAAACAAGAGAACTGGCGTCTTCCTGGAAGACTGCAGTCGAGTCCGGAATCAAAACTCTGGCTGTTACGAAGCCAACAAGGGGAAGCACTATAGGATTGGTTGGAATGGGCACACTAGGCATGCTGGGAGCTCTGACAAGGTTAGGCATGCTCCTCCGCAGCTTATCTAACAAACACAGAGAGATAAACCCACACAAGTGTTAAATAAATGAAATTAAAAGATACAGTAGGGCTGATTTTAAATTCTCAATATACCATTATATATATATATATATATATATATATAAAAACTTCCCTCTCACCCTCTTGGGGTGGTATCTGTGTGTCATCCTCAAGCTCGGGTCCTCTACCAGAGGCCTGGGAGTTTGAGGGTTCTGCGCAGTATCTTAGCTGTTCCTAGGACTGCGCTCTTCTGGACTGAGGCTTCTGATGTTGTTCCTGGGATCTGTTGGAGCCACTCCCCCAGTTTGGGGGTCACTGCCCCGAGTGCTCCTACTACCACGGGGATCACGCTCGCCTTGACCTTCCACATCTGCTCCAGCTGTTCTTTCAACCCTTGGTACTTTTCAACCTTTTCGTGTTCCTTCTTTCTGATGTTGGCGTCTGCTGGTATGGCCACATCTATCACCACCGCCTTCTTCTGCTCCTTGTCTACCACCACTATGTCTGGTTGGTTGGCCAGGACCTGTTTGTCAGTCTGGAAGCTGAAGTCCCACAGCACCTTGGCCCTGTTGTTCTCAGCCACCTTCTGTGGTGCGGCCCATTGGGATTTGGGTACTTCTATTCCATACTGGGTACAGATGTTCCTGTACACTATTCCAGCCACTTGGTTGTGTCTCTCCATGTACGCTGAACCGGCTAGCATCTTACACCCTGCTACTATGTGCTGGACTGTCTCAGGGGCATCTTTGCATAGTCTGCACCTTGGGTCAGATCTACTCTTGTAGAGCTTTGCCTCTATGGCTCTTGTACCCAGGGCCTGTTCTTGTGCTGCCATGATATATATATATATATATATATATAGCTCTTGGCCGTGCCTGTTCTTTTATTACTATTATCTGACTCCATCCCTTATGATGGCTCATGCAGCTGGCCGAGATCTCCTTTACCGTAACAACAGCCCCCTCAGTCAGATATACACTCCTAACTCTTAATCCCATCAAACTCTCTCTCTCGTCTTAGAACACACTCCAGTCTGAGAGCTGTAGGAGCAGTTGTACAAGAGGCTTAGACATTTATTATTAAGTGGTAAGGACATCGCTGTGGGTCAGTCCGGGGCGGTGATGGATGATGATCATAGATAAAAAGTAATGAATCAACGGGTTGAAATAAGTGTCTTCATGTTAAAAGTTGGATTACTGTTCAATGACAAATGTCCATGGAGGTTAGGGGACATTTCACTCTGAATCAAGTGTAAAACAATGTCGACTTACTCTCATATTCGGCCGGACGCCATGAAGAAGTTTCCACAAAACAATACAACCAACAACATACACATATACACAAAAATATCTAACGTATGACACACCCACCCACACACACACACACACACACACACACACACACACACACACACACAGATAACTGATTAGTACTGTTTACAGCAATGACAGCAAGGTCTTTCTCCCTCCTGTTTCTGACATTAATAAATTAAAAGGGAAACTCCTAAGATGTAGTCATTTAACAAGCATGGACAGTTGCATTGTGGGAAATGGAGGCTTGATGGGTTTTGGATGTCTCAGCCACCGCTACATTGATTTTGACCACCCCGACTTTAAGGAAGTGCAATCCTAAGACACCATAGTCTATTCATGCTGGGAATGCTGTTGCCATAAGGTATCTCCTTTAATTAAGGAGCAGTCATAACATCTGACCTTCAATGAAAGATATTGATTGTCACAGTGAGTGCCTGACTCCATCTTGATGGAGGTTGTTGGACTGTAGAAACACAGGGGACAATGATGGAAATACTTTTTCCTTCTGTTGTATTTGAGGAACCTTTTGGAGTCGTGTTTCTCACCATCCAATTAATATTCACTCTCCTTTTTAATCCGACATTTTCTGCCTGGAAATTTGACAACATTTGCAAACGCCATTTTTGTGAAACTTTGGCATCTTCTGCTGTTACATCATTAGTTTCCTCTCTCAGCCTGATTTCATACATTTCCCAGAACACATTGTGAGCGCTTTCAGGGAGGCGGTTTGGTGAGAACCCTTCCTGGATGTAGGTCAGCAGGTGAGACAGGTACAGGTAGGTCTCTCTCTCTCTGGCAGACAGCAGTAAGCAGCATCAGACAGCAGGGGGAGCTCCTCCGTCAGCACAGCAGCATGCTGGGAGGAGGGAGCGCTTGTTTTCCTCCTCTGTGCCGCTTGTTGTGAACATAAATATTAGAATGTGTCTAAAATGAAGCCTCAGTTCTCTGCTGGGACTCATTCATGTGAATATTGGATCTGTAATATTTCTCCCATTAAACAGTAAGATGAGCCTGGAACAAAGTTCGGCCACAACACGAGCTGTGATGTCAGAGACGGCTCAGCCTGCAGAGCTCTGGACCGATCACACTTATTGATTATTGATCTGAGCTGAGCGGCCAGCAGAGGCTCGGCAGATGTTACATAAGCAGCTGTCTGTCTGTCTATCTGTCTGTCAAAGGGAAACAACTGTAAGAGAGCAACGCTGGAGTCGAGCAGGTAGGAGCTCTGTGTGTGTGTGTGTGTGTGTGTGTGTGTGTGTGTGTGTGTGTTGTTGAAGTACATTAAACTTTGCAAACACATTTTACAGGGAAATATCCTTTAACATGAGAACATTTTGTATTTGTTATTTGCAGATTTGATCTCACACACATTTGATCAACCTATAAATAAATAATTATAATGATACTTTAGTGAAATGAACTCCACCTCGATCAGCCACAGTATAAAAATGCTGCGTGCACATTAATGCAGCAGTAATCCATCAGTACACTCTGAGTGCTGCTAACAGCTCTGAACGCAGTATCTTTACATGCTGTTATACATCCCTCCAGTCAGTTTGACACTACGATGTTTTCACATTCACATTTTCAATCAATCCGATCAATAAACCATGTAACGTCAGTCGGGAGAAGAGAGAAAAGGTCTTTTCCATTGAGAAAGTCCTTCAGTGCCATTCTTTACTCTCCACTTCTGATGGAACTGATGCTTGCAGCAGCTACGCTAACCTCTTTAGCAGCCACCATTGTTGTTTGTGTGCACATACATAGCATTAAGCGCTGCCAGTAGCTGCCTGTAGCTGCCAGTAGCTGCCTGTAGCTGCCAGTAGCTGCCAGTAGCTGCCAGTAGCTGCCAGTAGCTGCCAGTAGCTGCCTGTAGCTGCCAGTAGCTGCCAGTAGCTGCCAGTAGCTGCCTGTAGCTTCCTGTAGCTGCCAGTAGCTGCCAGTAGCTGCCTGTAGCTGCCTGTAGCTCCTCACAGGACACTGATTGGTTTGGTACCACTGTACATTGAAGCTTTGCAAGATGGTATTTCTCCACCACTGACCTCTGCAGGTGTGTCAGTAGTGAGCAGAGGAATCCTCCCACTGATGAGTATCTCTGTGTTTGTATGAGTGAACTTCATTTACATGTTGAGGGACGATGTGAACTGAAGGGGTTAAGAGTCAGAGGAATGTGGGGGGAGGCAGGAGGAGACAGAAGGAGGGAAAAGCTTTTTCAATCCTGCTTTTCATTTTTCTCCACCTTCACTCCTGCTCAGAGTCTCTCCTTCGTCCCAGTGCTCCATCCTCCTCTTCTTCAGGACGAATTCAGCCAGAGGGCCGCCAGGTTGCCGCGGAGATGCCGGGGACTCTTCCCAGGTTTCCCACCATGCCTGCCTTACTCAGCTCCCTGCCCAGAGGCGTCAACCCCCCAACTTTACCCAGAGGCATCACCATGCCCACTTTACCTACTTTACCCAGCATGCCCCGAGGCGTGACCATTCCCAGCCTACCCAGGGGCATGATGCTGCCGGGGTCCGTCGCCATGTCGACCGTATCCCAGGCTCCTCGGAGGCTGCTGCAGGACTGCTGCTCTGTGCTGGACCATCAGACACCCGGAGGTACTACAGATACTACTGATACTGCAGCTAATAGCAGCTAATACTACAGATACTGCAGCTAATACTACAAACATATTTCAGTCAGTACACCCACAATGTGCACTGCCATATTTAGAGTAATTCTCACTTATAAAATCAATGAAACTATAAATGAAGTCATCATTTCTATTAACAAACAAGTACTTTGATTACTGATTAATGTGCTTAGTATTGTTATTAGTACTGTTATTAGTATTGTTATTAGTACTGTTATTAGTACTGTTATTAGTACTGTTCCATTTCTTTCTATAATTGATGAACTCATATCACACACACACACACACACACACACACACACATACATACATACATACAAACACAAACACACACACACACACACACACACACACACACACACACACACACACACACACACACACACACACGTGATGAACACGGGCACATTTACTCAGCTGAGCTCTTTCAGCTTCACTTCTGCAGGTTTCTGATATAGTTTTTTTTTTTTTCCTGTTTCTGCTGGAATGATAAATAAATCCAGAGCAGATTATAGAGCGCTGAGCTGCTGCACATGGCCCAGATCACACACACACACACACACACCCACACACACACACACACACACAGACACAGACACACACACACACATATTAACATCAAAACTTCTCCAAAATGTCATTTATTCATCTGTTATAAAGAAAAACAGCCGAGATGTGAATTTCAAAAGTCAGTGAATGCAGAAATACGAGGTTTATGGCTCTGATGGTGAATGAAAGGAGGTGGGTTTAATGTGTGTGTGTGTGTGTGTGTGTGTGTGTGTGTGTGTGTGTAAAGGATTAACCACAAACGTGTGTGTGTGTGTGTGTGTGTGTGTGTGCGTGTGTGTGCGTGTGTGTGCGTGTGTGAGGGAAGTGACAGTGTGGATGTGAGCTGAAGGAGTCGTCTTCATGTACGGTGAGAAATATTAATATTTATTCGGTGTTTATTTATCTGAATGTTGTGGCGCTGCTGTTGTTGTTTGTCGATGCAGTTGTTGTTTGTCGATGCAGGTGTAGAAATATAAATATTAATGTTATTTTATGATGAATAATTCATTTTAATACGTTTTTAAACTGAAAATAATAAAAACGGTAATATTCTGGCAGCTGGAGGGACAAAGAAAATCAGTAATATCCTATAATTAAAAGTTTTTAGCTTTAATTTTACGTACGATTGTAATATTTTTGTCTTTTAATGTTTAAAGATATTTACACTGTAAAACAATGAGCTATAAATACAGATTAACTCTGCTATAATATAAATAATCAGACTTACATTTACAGCAGAGTGCTGTTATTATTGGATTGTTATTATTTTAATGTGAATGTTAAAAGTTATAGAACAGTAAAACCTCCGGCTTTTCTGAGTCATTTATTTTTTGGTTTGTTTTTTTGAATAATCTTTCCTGTTTTTCGGAGTAATTTCTTTCCTGAATTATTGAGATACTTCGAACTCCCGCGAGAACCTCCAACATGCAAGTGACTCCCATGGACCTATGGTGACTGCTGCCCGCACATACATGCCCCATCTTCAACTATCTACCGTACCGGGTCAATTTTGCTCTGTATATATTTCTATGTCTAGCAGATCTGAATGGGCTTTCCTTCTGAACAACCGCAAAGTCCTAAGGTGCCTGCGTAGAGTCGGCAAACTAATGATAATACCATCTATATGACTTAAAGACAGGACTATCTCCCAGTGTCTTAAACCCAGATCAAAGTAAAACTTAATTGAACTAAACAAGCCGGTTATGTTTGTTTCCGTTAAATCGAGCTAGAAAAAGTAGTTCATTTTCCAGTTTGAGTTTATTTAGTTAAAATCCAACAAAGACACAAAAATAATGTGAAGTATAAATGATAATAACTAACTATCATAACACATGTTTGAGTATTTTTTTAAATGACTTGTGAATGAAAATATTTGATTTACTGTCAGAAATTGGTCAAAATTTTATTTATGAGAATCAAGTTAAAATTATGTCAAATATAAAAGTCTTGACTTAATTATACTTATTTTAAGCATTTAAGCACAAACAAAAATGAATATATACATATATTAAAATATATTTATTAAATATAAGTTAACTATATTATATTATATTTATATAAATATATATATATATATAAATAATGACAAAACTAAACACTTTGACTTTCTAAATGAAAATAATAAGACTGAAGAAATCCGATAAAATAAATACAGCAGCTGAGTTCTGCTTTTAGCTCCGGCAGTCGTGAGAACAGCCACCGATGTATTACATTTAAATTAAAGTCATGTTTTACAGCCCGTTCTGTTTGTATGGGACAGATTCGGAGGGATTGAACCTGCGTCCTTTCAGTCACAGCGGGGTCTCTGTAAGCTCCGCTAACTAAAAAACAACAATATAAACACATTACGCAACAACAAGCCACCACAGGATTAACGCTTAAGACATGGTATTACTGCTGTATTGTAGTGTGTGTGTGTGTGTGTGTGTGTGTGTGTGTGTGTGTGTGTGTGTGTGTGTGTGTGTGTGTCCTTTAATCTCCCAAAACCTATTACACAGAACATCAAGAGAGATGAAAACTGAAGGAAAATCTGGAGGAAAAACAGGTTAAAAGTGTGCAGACACACTGCTGCCCCCTTCAGGCTGAACTGTTGAAACATGCTTTTATTTTGAAATCCCCCTGCTTTATACATATATTTGATAATATTGTATGAAGAAGCCTCATCCTGTTTGTTTGTACAATCTAATCGTTTCCTTAAACTCAACACTTCCTGCTGATTGTTTCTAGCAGCTCAAAGATCATTTATCCTCCCTTTCCTCTCAGCCTTTTAATGTGAAACTCACTGTAATAAACTAATCATTTCAAAGCTACATTTCTGAGTTTAACATGAGAAAATATCTGAGATAATGAGAGAAATAAAGCTATTGAAGTGAATAATGGACATTATCAAACATCAGTGAAGAGACGTCTCTATGGACGACTGCACACACACTCACCTGTAACTGTCTGTCAGGTGTGAACGTGAACTCTGTCTGTGTGTCTGCAGGTCTGTGCGGCTGCTGCTGGGCGTTACGTCCTCGCTACAAGCGGCTGGTTGATAATATTTTCCCAGAAGACCCTGAAGTAAACACACACACACTCACTTACACTGTGTTTGTAGTTGCTCTGTCACTGCACATATTTGAGCTTTATCAGTTTGGAGGTGGACAATGCTCCATGAGAACTTGTAAATTTACTTCCACTGTTTTTAATGCACAAACTATCTGCACTGATCGCTGTCACTTTATACACAAGATTTCACTGTTTGTTTCTATAATTTCATTTATCTTTTTATTTATATGTACTTACTTGTATTATTACTATTATTTATCATGTATTTTCTGTGTGTGTGTGTGTGTGTGTGTGTGTGTGTGTGTGTTTGTGAGTAGGACGGGCTGGTGAAGGCCAACATGGAGAAGCTGACGTTCTTCGCTCTGTCGGCTCCGGAGAAACTGGACCGCATCGCTGCGTACCTGTCAGAGCGTCTGACCAGAGAGCTGAACCGCCACCGCTACGGGTCAGTGCACACACACACACACACACACACACACACACACACACACACACACACACACACACACACACACACACAGGTGTAACAGTGGTGTGTGTTGTGTGTGTGTGTGTGTGTGTGTGTGTGTGTCGTACAGGTATGTGTGTATAGCGATGGAGGCGATGGAGCAGCTGCTTCTGGCCTGTCACTGTCAGAGCATCAACCTGCTGGTGGAGAGTTTCCTCAGTACGCTGCGTCTGCTGCTGGAGGCCGACAAACCTCACCTCCACATCCTCGCCACCAGCTCTGTACGTACAACACAACGTACTGCACAACATACAACGTACTGCACAACGTATTGTACAACGTACATTATTTTGAATCTATAACGTGCTATTACTGTTCTCTCTGGTGCAGTTTGTGAAGTTTGCCAACATCGAGGAGGACACGCCGTCATACCATCGCAGCTACGACTTCTTCGTGTCTCGCTTCAGTGAGATGTGTCACTCTGAACACGAAGACCTCGACATCCAAAACAAGTCTGTCTGTCTGTCTGTCTGTAATAAAGTAAATAACAGAAAAAGTTAAAAACGATATATATGCACACGAGATCTAGAATAAACCAAAAACAAACAAGAATATTTATTAATTTATTTGGTGTTTCTGAAATTGTGGGAATTTTAAGGGGAAAGAAAGAGCTTGAGATTAATTTAAAAACAATAATTAATAGATAATAATTATTAGAATTTAAAAGTATCTGAAGTAAAATGAGTGCATTTTCTGTCACAATATGTGTATTGTTTGATTCATTCATGTTATTTTGCATGATAGCAGGTTACAGTGTAATATCCATGATGCTGTGTGTGTGTGTGTGTGTGTGTGTGTGTGTGTGTGTGTGTGTGTCTGCGTGTTCAGGATCCGTGTGTCGGGGATCCGTGGTCTGCAGGGCGTGGTCAGGAAGACGGTGGATGACGAGCTGCAGGTGAACATTTGGGAGCCGCGTCATATGGAGCAGATTGTCCCCGCCCTGCTGGTCAACCTGCAGCAGCATACACACACCAGCAGGTACGCACACACACACGTGCACACACGCACACACACGTACACACACACACACACACACACACACACACACACACAATCATGGATATTACACTATAACCTGCTATAGACACTATTAAGAACTATTAAAGCATTAGTCTTTATTAACCAAGACCTGGCGCTCAGTTACTGAGGTTATATTTTATATGTATACACATTATGTGTGTGTGTGTGTGTGTGTGTGTACACAGTGAGTCTCCAGCAGAGCAGACTGAGGTGTGTTTCAGGGAGCTGTTGAGCCGAGCTGCTTACGGACACATTACCAACGCTATCAGACCTGTGCTCATGTAAGATACACACACTACTGTAGTTGTTGTGTGTGTGTGTGTGTGTGTGTGTGTCAGTAGTACCTGTGTGTGTGTGTGTGTGTGTATCAGTAGTACCTGTGTGTGTGTGTGTGTGTGTATCAGTAGTACCTGTGTGTGTGTGTGTGTGTGTGTGTATCAGTAGTACCTGTGTGTGTGTGTTTGTGTGTGTATCAGTAGTACCTGTGTGTGTGTTTTCAGGCACCTGGACAGTCACAGTCTTTGGGAAGGACGAAGCTTTGCTGTTCAGTGTTTTCAGATCATCATGTACTCCATCCAGGTCAGTAAGTACACTTGGAGTACTTACTGTACTTGACTGCACATAACTTTACTAAACTGAATTGTACTGTAAGATTAAATGTATGTAACTTTATTTCTCTTATCTGAGCTGATACCTGAACTCAGTATATTCAGTATATCCTCTTCAGTCCCAGCATTCACACCTGGTCATCCAGCAGCTGTTGGGTCACCTGGACGCTAACAGCAAGAGTCCAGCTTCAGTCCGAGCCGGGATCGTAGAGGTCCTGTCTGAAGCTGCTGTTATAGAAGCTACTGGATCTGTGGGTCAGTGTGCGCCGTCTCTGTACGTTAAATAGAATCCTACCATTAGTGCATGTGAGCTATTTAATCCTCCTCTGTGTGCACCGTAGGCCCCACAGTGCTGGAGGTGTTCAACACGTTACTGCGCCAGCTCAGACAGAGCGTCGACTACCAGCTGACTGGTTACTATGACAACACCGGAAAACGCGAAACCACGTCGGCTGAAGAGAAAACGCTGCAGGACGGCGTCATCAAGACTATCGGTGGGGCTGTTTTTATTTTCCTGCTGTCACTGAACAGTTTCCAATGTGCTGCTTCATTTGAATCTGTGTCGTCTGTCCAGGATCCTTCGCCAACACACTTCCCATCTACCAGAGGTCAGAGGTCATGCTGTTCATCATGGGGAAGATCCCAGTCCCTGGTATCTACCCCGCCCTGGGGTCGCCCAACTCCGGGTACCATTTTCACAACCTACTTTAAACATAATGAGTCTGTAATAATGACTGTGCTTTAAGGTGCTCACAGTGTGTCTGTCTCAGGTTGGAAGGCAGCAGGATGATCCAGGTGATGCTGTTGAAGTCTCTCCTCCAGGTGAATTCACCCAGCCCCCCTCCTTATCTACCAAACTACCCACTGAACCAACTACAGAACTATCTTTGTCCCAACTTTCCTACTGAACGCTATCAGTGGTCTTACGTTGTCGTGATACTTCAGTCCCATGCAACCCTGTATGTGTAAAGAAGTGAATATGTGTATGAAAGAGTGTAAAGTCTTCTGTCATCTTCCTCCCTGCCTCAGGTCTCGGAGCGTTATGAAAGCTGTAATCTTCTGACGGCGTTGCCCTCGTCCTTCTTGGAGCCTCTGCTGTCCTTCACTCTGATGGAGGATCCGGAGATCCGTCTGCTGGTCCTCTCCATCCTCACCTCGCTCATCGACAGACGCCACAACGCCGCCAGACTCACCGCTGCCAGGTCACAACTCCAGAACCAATGCTCAGGGAGTACTGGTCCCTGTAGGTAGACTGGGGGATGCACCACTGCAGTCTGTGGTCAGTCATAGGTTTCAACTGAAGTCGGTTGGCAGACAGAAGAATAACATTACTGATGGGAACCAATGGTGGTGAAGTGTTTCTCTGTGTCATTAGTGGGATTAGTAATTGATTGTCACAGAGTCGCTTTCTGTGTCCACAGTGTGATGTTTGATGTCTCCGTGTTGGAGCTGAAGGAGGACAGATGCTCTCGACAAGACAACTTGTTCATAAGGAAGGTGAGAGAAAAACTGTAGGGCTGCCACTAACCATTATTTTCATTACTGATCAATCTGTGGATCATTTCACAGTTCATACAGTCTTTGATTGTAATCAGCATTACCATCTATATATCACATTTTAAATGTTACTAATTATGAGGTCGAATAAAATGTTTTAAACATATCAACACTTTAATAATCAGTCTTTGGACACATTGTGTTTACTGAGCTTCAAATGATTGTAATATTAATATTCCTATTAAAATACAGAACAGCTGCCATCATTCGGACAGTCCTGTTGTTGGAGCTTCCTTCTTCTATAAAAGACAACCTTTCATACAATGTCCCATCATGCATGTGTGCAGAATGCGCAGCGTCTCTACAGACACGTCTACCTCACCTGTAAGGAGGAAAGCAGTGGGCGGGGCCACTACCAGGCCCTCGTCACCCTGCTGGCTGTCCTCAGTGTGGAACTGGCCAATGAGGAGGTGGTGGTGGACCTGATCCGACTGGTGCTCGCCCTGCAGGTAGGCAGAGCTGCTATAACAAGCTATAAACAAATATTAATGATAATTAGGATAATAATGTTGATCCTTTCTCTCTTCTGATTGGCCGCTCAGGAGCTGGCATTGTCCCCTCACGAGTGTTTGTCAGTGTTTAACCGTTGTGGCGTTCACGCTGTCTGCGCCGCCTTCCTCAACCTGTTGTCCCAGCTCGGTCCGCCTCCACCTTTCCACCTACACATCACACAGGTGAAAACAAAGTGTGTGTGTGTGTGTGTGTGTGTGTGTAATGAAGGCGTGTGTGTGTGTGTGTGTGTGTGTGTGTGTGTACATCAGATATACATAATTCATTTTGTGTCTGCAGGTCATAGAGCATCGGCAGGGGAATGCTCCACACCTGCTGCCCAAAGACGTGTTCTGTGATGAACCCAGGTAGAGACACACAGAAAGAGAGACAGACAGACAGAGAGACAGACAGAAAGAGAGACACCCCCATTTCAAACCACTGTTCTATTACATTTGACTATTAACCAATATTAATCACTTATTAGTCAAATGTGTATGTATTACTGAGGACACGATGAAGTTAAAGTCAGCTACAGGAGGGAGGATAAAGTAACATCTGGACAGTGGTGGAAGAAGTACTCAGATCTTTTACTCATATTACTATTCAAAAGCTTACTTCAGTTACAAAATATACTTAAGTACCAAAAGTAAAAGTCCCAATTAGGCAGAATCATATATTACTGTATTATAATTATTGATTAATTGTGTTCATGACTTTAATCAAAAATAATATATCATATATTATTGATTTTTCAATTTGATCTGATTATTGATTGTATTTATAATCTGTGTGTGTGTGTGTGTGTGTGTGTGTGTGTGTGTCAGACTACCACAGGGTGAGCTGATGGTGGATGAAACTTTTCTGTTCGTCCAATCGAAAATCTGCGAGGCTCTGACAGGAAGCAGCTACAGCGCACACACCGAACGCTTCAACACGCCATACACACCTCAGCTAACAGGTACACACACACACACACACACCTTATACTCACTCGTCTTTTCTTTAGATTTGTTCCTCAGAAGCATCTCAGTGTCTGTAGACACCCTGTAGGGGGCGCCACACACTGTGTACTCATATTACTGGCAGTACTACAAGTTCACACTGTGTCACTGTGTGTTTAGATGAAGATCGTCTGTCTAAGAGGAAGAGTATTGGAGATGTCATCTCTCTGCAGATCGACATGGACCCTCAGTACTGCCCTGATACACAGCAGGTACATGTCTGTCTGTCTGTCTGTCTGTCTGTGTGTGTGTGTGTGTGTCTGTCTGTCTCTCTGATATCCCTCTGTTCTGTAGCAACCTCAGACGGAGCAGATCACTTTTGAGACGCTGAAGAACGCCATCGGTAAGTGATCGATTCCACAATCATCAATAGCAACACATTATTATTGTTTCCCCTTTAGACAGAGAATAAAATAAACAAAACATTGACAAACAAACAATATGTTTTCCTACAGTGTCTTTATTGATTGATTGATTGATTGTTACGGTCTGTCCTCTTTTGTTTTATTCTGAAATGGTGTTGTGCAGAAGACAGAGGGGGTGTGGAGGAGGAGGAGCGGAGGAGGAGGATGCAGGTGGTGGAGAGGTTTCAGACGGCTCCGTTTGAGGAAATAGCGGCTCACTGTGGAGCCAGGGTGAGTGACCTCTGACCTCTGACGATGATACTTTGACACACTATGTTTGGATAAGCGTGTGAATAAAAGTTTCTCTCTTTCCAGACCTCTTTGCTTCAGTCTAAACTGGATCAGGTCTTTGATCTGATCATACGTCCTCCCCCGTCTCCGTCCGGACACTCGCCGCCTCGCTCAACGCCTCTCTACGGGATAAAGTTCCCCGACCTGTGTGTCTATTAGACTCACAGAGAGGTTCAGCAGTGAAAAGCTTTCCTTACTGTGTGACGTGTTCCCTGTTGCACACCAGGAAAGGAAACAAAGTGTCCCTTAAAAGACTGATTAGATTCTGTTTTAGATCTTTAGTGTTTGCCTGCTGTTATTTTTCCTGCACTAATTAAAGAGTTAACTTATGCTCATATTTTATGGTTTCATTCATTCATTTTTCAAAATAAAACCCTGTGCATCAGTCAGAGGTACACAACGTCAGCAGTGATGTTATTAGGGCTGGGTATCGTGGCCAATTTCCTAAATCGATTCGATTTCGATTCATAAGGTTCTGAATCGATTAATCACGATTCGATTCGATTCAATCTGCTCTTAAATAATGAAAATGGCTCAACTGTGTTACACAATACAAATGTACTTTATTTTTTCTCTTCACCTTAAACAACAGGTTTTAAGTGCAAACTTGTAAATTGGACAGTTTAAACTTGAGCTGTAAACAAAACTCACATCTCAAAAGTGCAATTTTGAAATTAGAAAGGAATTGCGAGTGAAAGTGTACTTTCTACAACGTTCCATCACTGCAAATTGCATTAAGTGTTGCACAATAACGTAGTGTGGTTCGAGCACCTGAATGAGCCGCTTGAAGCCTTCGTTTTCCACTACGGGCGTAAATCTTTGCAAACAAAAGTTGCGATGGCCTCTGTTATCTTTGTGGCCCGCGGAGAATCGGCTGCTAATGTTAGTGATTCCCTCAGTTTCTTTTGTTTTGCCCCGGACGGCTTGTTGTCGGAAGCTAACGTTAGCGTAGTGTGATACCTTGTAAAGTGTTTTCTGAGGTTTGTAGTATTTTTACAATAACTGAGCTCCGCTTGGCAGATCTTGCAAACCACTTTGGTTTTATCCAGCTCTTTGTCCTTTGTTGTTTTAAATCCGAAATGGTTCCAGACTTTAGTTGGGACGGCTTGCTGAGCGGGGTTTTACCTGCGTCAGTCATTTTGTGTATGCACGCTTGTTCACTTGAACGTCAACCTGACGCAAACGCGCTGCTGCGTCATCACGAACGAGACTTCATGGGGAAAAAAAAAACCTTCATGGGGAACAATCGATCTCACACCCTATGAATCGATATTGCAAAATTTAAATGAAATCGATCCAAAAACGATTACATTGATTTTTTTACCCAGCCCTAGATGTTATCTATCTGAAGGCGGATGAAGAAGTTGAAGTTGTGCATTTTTTTGCTTGCAAATAATAAATATTTACATAATGAGAACTACAATGAGCAGCCTTATCCCTCATCTTAAAACAGACACACACATGCACGCACGTACGCACGCACACGCACACACACACACACACACAAACACACACACACACACACACACACACACACACACACACACACACACAGACAGGTCTAAGGCGAAGTTGACCACTACCTGACCAATAGCTCAGGAGGATCAATGAATGCTTCTAGATTGTAAGGTTGCAGGTTCAAACCTTATGAGACTCAGGTTGATTTTAAAACACGTGTCCACCAGAAAGACTGAACAGGTCTCAGAACCAGTCTTCAACCAGCTCCTCCAATATCTCAGGGGGATGAAAGATGATGCAGAAGGTCCAAGGTTGTGGGATCGATCCTTATGAACCTCCAACATCCAAAGTGAAGACTCAAAAGCGCTGAGAGAAGATCTCCCAGCGTGAAGGGGACATTGCGGTGCGGTGGGTTTGTTCGTTACCACTGAGAGTGCTACTCGGTTCGACTCCCACCCGTGGTCCCTAGATCCGCAGTCCTGCACGTGGCGGGACGGGAGGGGGCAAGGGGTTATGGGATGGGAAACCTTGTTACTTACTTACTTACTTAGTTACTTATTTACTAATGCTTAAACCTTAAACCATATTTTTAAGCTATTGTTGTTTTCAGGTTGCGGTCAAAGGTTAACTTTGTGTTTCATTATCTATAATAATCATTATATATACATATTATTATTATATTATTATGAATATTATTAATATTATCATTATATACTGTTATTAACAATAACACTACCATCATGTCATCAGTACGATTACCACCATCTTGCACCTTACCTACCTATTTATCTTTTTTAAGTATTTTATTCAATTGTTGTATTTTATCTTATTTTAATGTACCTGGCTGCTATGACGACCCAATATCTCTTCAGGGATTAATAAAGTCTATCTATGTTAACAGCAGACGGTCATCGTCCTTTAAAATCCTCATCAAGATTCTGAGAGAAAAAGAGAAAAAGAGGAGATGAAACAAGGAGCTCCCTGAAAGGCAGCGGTGGAGAATAACAGTACAAACGGTAGCTGGTCATTGGTCACGTGATCAGAGGGGTGGTCATGTGACTAATGTGTCTCAGGTGGGGCTGATCTCCTCATCAAGGAGCCAATAAAGAGGGGGGAGTGCTCAGAGTTCACTGTCTCACTCTGGTTGCTTCCTGATGGGACCTGTAGTTCAGGGTTCTGGATCCTACGGTCCTAGCTGTTGTTTGGTCTGTTCTTCATTGTCTGAAACTAAATTAATTGTGGGGGGGTTGTAACAGCACCATTTGTACAGAGCTGATGTTTATTTAATATATTGAGTTTTACCTGCATTTGTACCTCACTTTTACTTTTATATTTTTACTTGTTGGTATGTTTATTGTCTGAGTTGTTATATTTTGTTGTAACAGCAGCATTTACTGAAGCAAACTGTGATTCTTATTGTTTACTTTTATCTTTTAACATGTTTGTATATTGTCTGAGGTTTTTATGTTTGTCAAGAGGAATGTATTTTACCTTTTGGGTAGAAATAAAGTAACTTTGAACCTCTAAAGTTTAGCCTCTGGTTAAACCTTCATTTTCATTGCATTCCTCTTTCACTACAAAGCTCAGTCAATTAGCTACTAGCAGTTAGCTGGTGGAGACTAAACGTTAACAATGATCCATATCAGCAGTTTGAATCCAACTAAAAGCTCCCTGCACCAAACTCCCTTTAAGAAATATCACATTTTAACAATTCCTAACGTGTTCGTAACAACACGTAACTCTAGAAACACGAGCTAAAGGCCGTCATATGTCCACAGTCTGACTGTCAATACGGGATCAATATCATCAATAAACAGTGAAACTCTGGACAGACCTGGCTGCTGCAAACATCGTCGCGTGGTCCACAAACATTTCCCCCGTTAGCTCCGTAGATAGCATTAACGGTAACATTAACTTCCGGCAGACACTAAAGATATAAAACATTGTCTAATAAAGTCTCTTCAGACTCCAGCTGGACATTTACACCGTTAAAAACAGTTAACGTTAAAAACTGTTTGTTCTCTATCGAAGATACTCCCACTAGAGTTCCGTCTCCGTCTACTTCCTGCTAGCATCCTACGCTACTTCCGGTTATCTTCTTCGTTGGTGTTCTAGCAGGTTAGCATAGCGCCACCTACTGAACCAGAGTGTACAGCAGCATCCCGTTATAACGGGATTATATTCTGCATATTAAACCGAGTAAATATGTTTAAAAAAGGATCTTTGAAACAGAGTTTATTGATCTGAATTCAAAGGAGCTTTATTGGAACAGAAAACAGACCAGAGTGTAAAATATATGTAGAATATGTATATACAGATTTGTAAAGAAAATTATAATAATTTAAGACAAAATAGAAAAATGTCTGAAAATGTGGACTTAGTATCATAAATTCATTATTTTGAGATACAAATATAATATTTTGAGAAGATTTCTCATTATAATAGAGAGATAGACTGCAGCCCCAGGAACCAGCCACGAGTGGGACTCAAACCAGGTACTGCCCAGTCCTCGTTCTTACTGGTCACGAGGAAACCAACCGCAGCACTACACGCTGAGAAACCTTCTCTGAACGCTTTTCACTCTTCATTCTGGATGTTGGACTTATATAATTGTTTTTTACTCCTCACATTGATTGAAATGGGCTTCCATACTTCCCACATCCACCTCTCTGTCCTGCAGTCTGTTTACATACTGAACTTCCTCCCAGCGTTACACCACCTGTTGTTTATGAGCACGGACAGTCCCCCTCCTTTCTTCATGCCGGTTGCGGTGGTGTCCCTGACGGCTCGAACCGTCTGGAAGCCAGGCATGGTGACGTTGGAGTCCGGTATCTGCTCGTGTAGCCACGTTTGTAGGGTTAGGGACAATTCATAACAGAAGTTATCTCAGGACACTTCTCAAATAGAGCAGGTCTATGGTCTACTAGGTCGGTAGGTAGAATTAAAAAAGTCTTGATCTCAGTATTCTCAGAAATCAAGCATCATCATTTCCTCTTGCTGCTTTCACCAGCACACTTGTGTTTTTTTATAAGCCCGAGCTGAGTGAATCTTTTGTCACAAGTGCTGCAACTAAATGGTTTCTCCTCTGTGTGAACAGTCAAATGTCGTCTCACATCCTTCTTCAGTGCAAAGGTTTTACCACAAACTGAGCAAGGAAATGGTTTCTCCCCTGTGTGGGTTTTTATTTGTCTGGGCGAAGCACTTCTGTGACTGAAACTTGCTTGACAAACTGAGCATGTGTAAGGTTTTTCTCCTGTATGAACTCTTAAGTGTGACGTTAGATTTGAGATTCCCGCAAATCCTTTGCCACAAACTGAACAACTTAAGGGTTTCTCCCCCGTGTGGATTCTCTCGTGTTCTCTCATGTGTGTCTTTTGTGTAAATCCTTTACCGCAGATGGAACAACTAAAGGGTTTCTCACCTGTGTGGATTCTCATGTGATTTGTAAACTCACCTTTCCATAGAAACATTTTGTTACAAACTGAGCAACTGAAAGGTTCTCGTTCAGAATGAAGTCTCATGTGAGTTGTTAAGTATTTTTTCCAGTGGTATCTTTTACCACAAACCGAGCAACTAAATGGTTTCTCTCTTGTTTTTGTTCCATTGTTTTTCAGCAGATGTCCGTTGTGGCCAAAACTTGTAGCACAGCTGATTGATGATTTTCCAGTATTACATTCCTCTTCAGTTACAGGTAATTCATTGTTTTGAGATTCCTTGTCGTCAGTATCTGGTTGTAAATGGCTCTCAGGATGAAAGTTCCTGGCTGGTTCTGGTCCTTCACAGTCCTCTCCATCAGCTTCTGTTTTCAAAACCTCTACATCTCTGTTCTCTTCAGTTTGGCTTTGAAGAAGCTGTGAGGGTTGACGACTTACACACTGATGGTTTTTGAGCTAATAAAGCCAATAAAAGGTCTTGTCACAACATTTATCACAGCTGTATCGTTTCTCCCTCTTGTGGAATGCCATGTGGTGTGTGAGATGTCCCTTTTTTACAAATTTCCTACTGCAAACTGAGCAACTAAATGGTTTCTCCCCCGTGTGGACGGATGAGGGGTTTTTCAGAATTCCCCTTCGTGCGAATCTTTTACCACAAACTGAACAACTGAATGGTTTCCCCCCAGTACGCATTCTCGTGTGTGGACAAATTGTGTCTGAGACTGAAACTTGCTTTACAAACTGTGCATGTGAAAGGTTTTTCACCTGTGTGAACTCTTAAGTGTGAGGTCAAAGCTGAGTTGCGTGCAAAATGTACACCACTGACAGAACAACTGAAGGGTTTATGCCCAGTGTGGATTATCTTGTGTCTCTTCAGATTTGAGTTACGGCTGAATTGTTTACCGCAGACAGAACAGCTAAATGATTTTTCAGCAGTGTTACATCCACTGTTGTTTTTCAGAATGCTGAACCCTGACTGAGGTTCACCGCTCTTCTCCCAATCACAACTGTCATCAGTCTCAGCTTCAGAAAAGTCTGAAGTCTTGTCATCAGACTGTAAATGACTACCTGGATCTGGTTTCCCGACTGGTTCTGGTCCTCCACAGTCCTCTCCATCAGCTTCTGCATCTCTGTTCTCTTCAGTTTGATGAAGCTGTGAGGGCTGAGGTTTCTCTTCCTCCTCTTCTTCACTCTTCACAGAGACAGGAGAGAATGTGAACTTGATGATATCAGCGTCCTCCAGCCCTCCAAGCTGCTCTTCCTCCTGACCAGTCCAGAGTTCCTCCTCCTCCTCTTTAATGTGTGGCAGCTCTGGTGGATCCCTCATCCACTGCTGCTGCTCAGGAGGATCCTCTTCTTTACTCACCGACAGCAGCTGGACGTCTGTGGATGATAATCAAACACAGACACGTTTTACTGTAATGTCTTAACATTTAAACCACACTTCTACTTTCTTAAAGGTTGAGCATGTAGGATTTTGTGGCATTCAGCCCTGCAGTTGGCTTTGACTTTATTGATCCCACACTAGGGAAAATCCAACAATACAGATACAACACAACAGATAAAAAAATACACAACAAATAAAAACAGAATCTTTATCAAACAAACTGCAGCTTCTACTATTTGGATATTGCACTTATTGGTGGGGACAGCAGGTCAAACTGATAGAAGATCACTTACATTATCTTCCCTCTGCCACAGTTTCTCCTTCTTTTTTCTGTTATTCGTCTTTTGACTTCTTTGTCTGTAAAACTCTTTGTTAAATAAAAACTTTGATATAAATAAAGTAGTTGTTCTTATCAGTGTTATGGATGAGGATGGTGAGAACTGCTCAGTTTCATCCTGTTGTTGAACTCATCACTGTGACATAATAGGTTATTTTTTGGAGGCTTTTATGCCTTTATTTTGACAGGAAGATGGACAGGAAGCTGGAACCGTACCTGGGCCTCAGTATAGTAGGACGTCAGCCCACAGGTGAACTACAGCCCACAGGTGAGCTACAGCCCGCCAAGCAGAGAGTCCCCTGTTTCCTGTCTATCTTAACCTGTCCTATCAAAATAAAGGCATAAAAATAAATGATAGAACTTGCTTGTAAGTAAAGCCCGACCCGTATATCGGTACTCTGTGATATCCAGTCAATGTGTTTTTCATTATAATGATACAATGCAACATAATGCATTACAATAAATCACTTTTACTGCTTTAAGTTCATTTAGCAGTTTAAAGTGAGAATAATGAATATTATTATTATACTATTGAAGCTACACCGACTAGCGCTGTGCGGCCGAGCTCAGGCTACTTCCTGTAGCAAGCTAACTTCCTGTAGCATTCGTTGCTAACAGGAAGTGACTCTGCGGTGAAATATCCGTAAAGTTTACACATAAAACCTCCATTTGAAGGAGTTTATCCACAAATACAGACTCTGATAATGGTAATGCAGGTGACACGTAACGGATAAAGGTAGCATGTTATCCCCGCTAACGCTAGCTCCCAGTGCAGCTTCTTTGCTAAAATTTCTAAATAAAAGCGACCATACGTTTAAAAATGTACAGGCTTATTGAGAATTAAAAACATACCGAAGTCCTTTACTTAAGTAAAAAGTCAAACAGCTTTATCTCACAGTTCTCACTTTTTTTTTTTTTTACTAATAAATGTGACAGAAATCAGCAGAAATGTCCATTAAAATGTGGAGGAGTTCCTGAATGTACCAGTGAGACATCAGTGAAAACATCTTAAAACAGTCATAAAGGACTTAATCTGAGGACATCATCAGACCTGGTGCATCCATGGGTACACTGCAAACAGGAACTGCTCATATTGTTAATTCAACAAACTTTTATTTATGCATTATGGGAACAGATGTAAGACAAAGAATAATAATAGTTAAAAATCCATAAAGTAACTAAAGAAACAGATTAATATCATAAATCAACAGAGCATCAATAATAAGAAAAACATCTTATTTACTTCTTAGCTCTGGTTGAACAAAACTTTATTAAAATAAATGAAAATACATGTTAAAGCCGAGAGAATATTATTGATAAGTTCAAAACATCAACTTCTCTGCACATTTAATGAATCATAGCTGATGATGTACAGAAATCTGAACCAATTCTTTTAAAACAAACTGGTATATTCAACACACCAGCTGCTGAACAATGTGAACAGTTTTAACAAAATATCACAAATACAATATGAGCACAAAAAAGACTATTATTGGGAGAAAAATCAAGCAATTTCTTTTATAAATCACATTTTACATAAAATAAAATGACCTTAATGATTAATCTTAATCATTTAATACATGTAATACCCAAAAGCCATTTTAACGGAAAATTACAAAATGACGTAGACACGAAAATAAAATCAAGGAGTCACAGTTTTGAATTCAGTACATTAATCCTTCGTCGTCTCCACAATCATCTTTATTTACTTCCGCTCTCACCGACACACCGGTGTTCTTTGACGTGAGAGAGCCGAGTGAAACTTTTATCGCAAACGCTGCAACTAAACGGTTTCTCCCTCGTGTGGATCCTCGTGTGTCGTCTCAGATTTCCCCTATCTCCAAATCCTTTACAACAAACTGAACAGCTGAATGGTTTGTCCTCCGTGTGGACGGTCGAGTGTCGTCTCAGATTTCCCGCGTGCGCAAATACTTTACGGCAAACTGAGCAACTATATGGCTTCTCCCCGGTGTGGACTCTCATGTGCCTGGTCAAAGTGCGTTTGTCACCAAAACTTATTTTACAAACTGAGCATGTGAAAGGTTTCTCTCCTGTATGAGCTCTCAAGTGTGAGGTCAAAGTTGAGCTCTGTGAGAAACTTTTACCACAGACAGAGCAACTGAAGGGTTTCTCCCCTGTGTGGATTCTCATGTGCGTCACAACAGCTCCTTTCGACTGAAACGTTTTTTTACAAAGTGAGCAGCTGAAACGTTTTCCCTCTGAATGAAGCCTCGTGTGATTCATTAAGGAGGTCTTCTGGGAATATCTTTTACCACAAACAGAGCAACTGAATGATTTAATTCCAATGTGTTTCTGCTGATGTCCCCTGTGGTCAGAGCTGGTATCACATTCAGAGGAGCTGACTGATGTTTTTGGTTCTTCAGTGTTTTTCTGAGGTTTTGAACCTGACTGAGGTTCCCTGGTCTCCTCCCAATCACAACTGTCATCAGTCTCACTCTCAGAGGAGTCAGACCTCTCATCATCAGGATCAGACTGTAAATGACTACCTGGATCTGAGTTCCCGGCTGGTTCTGGTCCTCCACAGTCCTCTCCATCAGCTTCTGCATCTCTGTTCTCTTCAGTTTGATGAAGCTGTGAGGGCTGAGGTTTCTCTTCCTCCTCTTCTTCACTCTTCACAGAGACAGGAGAGAATGTGAACTTGATGATATCAGCGTCCTCCAGCCCTCCAAGCTGCTCTTCCTCCTGACCGGTCCAGAGTTCCTCCCCCTCCTCTTTAATGTGTGGCAGCTCTGGTGGATCCCTCATCCACTGCTGCTGCTCAGGAGGATCCTCTTCTTTACTCACCGACAGCAGCTGGACGTCTGTGGATAATAATCAAACACATGTTTTAGAAAACAGTTATTTCTTCTACTTTCTTAAATATTAAATGTTGCACATGTTGTATTACAACTAAATCTAAAGCTGCATTTTGTATCTTTACACAGAAGATGATTTTTGTCACACAACAAGCTTTGGAGAAAGTAAATAGTGAGGGGCGAAGAGAAGAATGAACCGAGGTAGCCCAGCACAACAGCAGGACGTTAATATTATAACTATTTGTCCACCGTCAGAACAAGAAGACACCGTAGGAACATAAATGTTATATAAACAGGGACTTTTTATTTATTTTCTGACTTCATTGTTGCTGCTCTATAAACAATATTCTGTCATATTTAATGTAGAAATACATCTTTCTGGCTAATGTCTGAATGTGGTGTGAAAAACTACAACATATGATGCATTGCTGTAGATTAAACTACAAACAGTATATAAAGCAGTTAAAATGAGGTCAACTGTAAAGATCTACAGCAGTCAAATATTAATATTAAAATATACATCAAATATAAAAGTAAAACACTGACAGGGAACATTTTACTGCACTAAAAGTACTTTTACTTTATACTTAGAGTACATTGTAGTATTAATAGTATTATATTATTATTATTATTTGTATTTATTGTATTATTATTTGTACTTTAACTGAAGTAAAGTGAACAAACCTGCTCTGTGTATCCGGACTTCAGCCTTTAAAGCAGCGTCCAGTAGTTGGTGAGACATTTTCTCTCATTCACAGGAACTTTATCCTCCGGTACAAACTCTGTTCAAACTTTAAATCACGTTTCTTCTATTTCCAGTTAGCACGCTAAGCTAACTCCATTAGCTCCGCGGCTAACATTAGCTTCCAGGAGGTAACTCACATATTAAACGTTTTCTAAATAAAGTGAGCAGCACAGAGTCTCTTCAGACAGCTTCATGTGGACATTGTTTACTCCGTTAGAGACACAGTTTGGTCTCTATTGACTCCAGTTCCGTCTCCGGCTACTTCCTGCTAGCAAGCTACGCTAACTTCCTTTAGCATTCTGTGCTAACCGGAAATGAGTCTGCGATGAAACATCCCGAAAGTTTTTACTTTTTACTGAAACAAGTTCCTCCACACAGACACACTGTGTTAGTTCACTCCTCTTATATCTGAACGTACGTGAGACGTGTCGGATAAAGTTAGCATGTTAGCCACCGTAAATACCACGTCCGCCCGGATTTTCAAAATAAAAGAAACCAATCTTGTAATTCTGACTTTTTATTATAGTTTTAAAGATACATGTCTCAAAGGATGGAGTAGTAATAGATTACATGAGTTATGTCATCAGGATACACAAAAACTGCAATCTGTTATAGTTACAGAGAATAGATGTAATCAGATTACAGTTACTTTCAGTTAAGAAAACAGATTATTAGCAGGATTACAATTTTAAAATCAGTTTTTATTTTAAAAACACACACAGACACATTGTTGATGATGATTTATATATTTTATGGATATATTTATTAAACGGTACAATGAACCCAAACAGTGAACTCAAGAACTTTAAGATTTGGATGAATTTTGAGTAGATTATTTCCTGTTTAAGAAACTTTATATACAATTCTCTGTGTGTATTACGTATTTTTCACCATCATCAATCATACAGACTAAAGTCTTCTTTCATTTCTCTTCACAGAATTGAGCCAAATGCTGAGCTAAAAGCCTACTGTGTATATTTTTTAAGTTTTCTTACACTCTTTCCCACTGTCTTATAGAATACATAAAAGTCAAACTATATTTTTCATAATTTTTTGACAATAACAACCAACCAACAGACGGGTCATCATAAGTGAGATGAAATGTTTGACTTTGTATAGAAAAGTAAGAAAAGTCAGTAAATGTATCTGATTACAAAAATGAGTTTCCTTTTATTAGTGAAATCAAACCTCATAATTAGGAGCTACTTTATTATGAAATACAGATGTTTTAAATATGACACACTGACCATTTATAAGAACTATTCCTCATTATGGGATACAGAATGTATAATAATGATAGTTTTCTCTTAATTGTGAGGCATCTATCGTAATTATTAAAAAATAATTTCTTGTCATTCAAGATAACGATGTTGTAATTCCTCAGAATTAGGACACAGTTATCTTAAGATATCATTTTGTCTTCAATGGCACAGTTTTCTTATAATAATGAGATATGTTACTATAAGAAAATTAATCAAATAGTACAGATTATCAAAATTATTTGGAGACACAAGAAGCTGCCGAACTTCTATCAGTCCACTAGATGGCGCCATGGAGCTGCAGCTCAGAACACACACACAATGCATGGACGAGCATTTACACTCACTGATTGACTTTAATTAAACTGATTAATAATTAAGTGACTTCTTCACTACTAAACATTTCAGTTACACATAAATGAGCTGACAGCAGTGGCAGCCTCCTCACTTATTACGATGCAGATACATTATTAGGACATTAATGAGAATGAATCGTACTAACTTTTGTAATTAAGATCTTTTATTCTTGTAAAAATGTGACTCATATATTCTCAGAAGTGGATTTGTGAACAGAGTGAGATGTTCCTGATGAGAAGTTTTACTGGTTCAGTCCTTGCCAGGGGTGTATCTGACTTTTTTGACTGTGGTGGCACAAGTGGGCCACTGCCTTATACAGCAGCGGTAGGAAGAATGTTGTGTTATGTTATTCCCATTTTATACAACTAGACCCCTGTTTATGCAGGAATATTCAAATACAGTTGAATCATTTACAATTATTGCTACAGACAATCTACAAATTATTTGAACTGTTCCATAACAATTACATTTTCTGAAAAAACTCACATATTAAAAGAGAACACATTTTTCTTCATGGTTTTCAAAGATTTCACAATGTCTTAATGTCATAAATCAACTGAAAATGAATCTCCCAACATTGTATTTACTCATGTGTGCCTATCATTGAACATTTTCTTAAATGTTCTTCACTGGAAGATTTTTGATAAAATTAAAACATTGTTTTACAAACAAAAGTATAAATAAGTTATAATAATTTACTTATTTCTAAAAAACGACTGAAGACTCGGGCAGACTGTGATGGAGATGAAACCCTCCTGAGTGAAATGAAGACACACTGACTTCTAAACTTATCAACCCACAAAATAAAGCTGCAGACACAGGTTTGAACCAATGACATGTTAGCCCGGCGTCGTTTACTTGTATATTTTGTCCTTAAAAGGAAGCAAAACAGCACGTTTCTCTGCTTCATGTCTCCTCTGACTGATTGACTTCTGGCCTGGTGCCACACGATTGAGTCTGCACACTGTATTTTATTTTGAAAATTGACCAGTTTCTCTATGGTGTCTCTTCCTGCCAGTGCGATCTGATCTGAGGGTGTCATGTATTCTATGCCGAGAGACACTTGTCTTGAAGGGCACAACGATGAAGATACTAAGGTTAAGAATGATTATAGAAACCAAAAACTCTCTCAGCATACATAAAGTACAAGTTGAATTGTAATCCATTTTACATAGACGAATATAAGTCATACCGTAAGGCACAGTCTCACTGATTAGTGTTGAAATCTACCCCATCAATCCTTCAGTTACCTCCACTGCTCTCACCAACACACCTGTGTTTTTTAATGAGACCAAGCTGAGTGAATCCTTTACCACAAACAGAGCAACTGAACCGGTTCTCCCCGCTGTGCATTCTCATGTGTTTGGACAAAGTGCTACTGTCAGCAAAACTTGCGTTACAAAGTGAGCACGTGAAAGGTTTTTCTCCCGTGTGAAGTCTCAAGTGTGTGGTCAAAGCTGAGCTTCGTGCGAATCCTCTGCCGCAGAAAGAGCAACTAAAGGGTTTCTCCCCTGTGTGGATTCTCATGTGCCTCAAGAACTCTCCTTTCCAAGGAAAAGTTTTTTTACAAACTGAGCAGCTGAAGTGTTTTCCCTCTGAATGAAGTCTCATGTGATTCGTTAAGGATTTCTTCTGAGAGTATATTTTACCACAAACTGAGCAACTAAATGGTTTCTCTCTTGTTTGGATTCCATTGTGTTCCTGCAGATGTCCCCTGTGGTCAACGCTTGCATCACATTCAGAGGAGCTACCTGATGTTATTCCAGTATTAAATCCTTCATCAGTCACTTCATTGTTTTGCAGAGGTTTTGAACCTGACTGAGGTTCCCTGGTCTCCTCCCAGTCACAACTGTTATCAGTCTCACTTTCAGAGTCTGACATCTTGTCATCAGTATCTGACTGTAAATCACTATCTGGATTAAAGTTCCTGACTGGTTCTTGTCCTCCACAGTCCTCTCCATCAGCTTCTGTTTTCAAATGTTCTGCGTCTCTGTTCTCTTCACTTTGGCTTTGATGAAGCTGTGAGGACTGACGACCAACACACTGATGGTTTTTGAGCTCATAAAGTCCAGTGAATCCTAAGTCACAAAAGATGCAGCCGTATCGTTTCTCCCCCGTGTGGACTGCCATGTGGTGTGTCAGATTTCCTTTTTGTGCAAATCTTTTACCACAAGCTGAGCAACTGAAGGGTTTCTCCCCAGTATGCAGTCTCATGTGTTGGTACAGAGTGCCCCTGTCATTAAAGCTAGTTTGACAAACTGAGCATGTGAAAGGTTTTTCTCCTGTATGAACTCTTAAGTGTGAAGTCAAAGTTGAGCTTTGAGCGAATCCTTTACCACAGACGGAACAACTGAAGGGTTTCTCCCCTGTGTGGATTCTAATGTGTCTCTTCAGATTTGAGTTATGGTTGAACTGTTTACCACAGTCAGAGCAGCTAAAGGATTTCTCACCAGTATTACATCCACTATTATCTGCCTGAAGATCACTGCTCTTCCTCCAATCGTCACTGGCTTTTGTCTCATCTTCAGAGAAGTGTGACATCTTGTCACAAGCATCCGGTTTAAAATCACTATCTGGTTTAAAGTTCCTGGCTGGTTCTGGTCCTCCACAGTGCTCTTCATCGGCTTCTGTTTTCAAATACTCTGCATCTCTGTTCTCTTCAGTTTGGCTTTGATGAGGCTGTGAGGACTGACGACCAACACACTGGTGCTTTTTGCGCTGGGAAGGACAAGTGAATGTTTTTCCACAAACACTGCAGCTGCGGATTGCTGTGTGACGTGTCAGGTTTACTTTATATTTAAAGCTTTTACTGCAGACTGAGCAACCGAGTCTCTCCCCTGTGTGGAGAGCCATGTGGCGTGTCAGATTTACCTTTTGAATAAAACTTTTACTACAGAATGAACAACTTAGTCGCTCCCCTGTGTGGAGTGCCATGTGGTGGGTCAGATGGCCCTTTTGTATAAATCTTTTATTGCAAACTGAACAACTCAGTCTCTCCCCTGTGTGGAGAGCCATGTGGTGAGTCATGTGCCCCTTTTGTATAAATCCTTTACCACAAACTGAACAACTGAATGATTTCTCGCCGGTATGGATACTCCTGTGCCTGAACAAAGTGCCTCTGTCACGGAAACTTATTTTACAAACTGAGCATTTGAATGGTTTTTCTCCTGTATGAACTCTCAAGTGTGAGGTCAAAGTTGAGCTTTGTGTGAATCTTCTACCACAGACAGAACAGCCAAAGGGTTTCTCCCCAGTGTGCATTCTCATGTGTTGGTGTAAATTGTATCTGAGACTGAAACTGACTTTACAAACTGAGCATGTAAAAGGTTTCTCTCCTGTATGAACTCTCAAGTGTGAGGTCAAAGTTGTCTTTTGTGCGAATCCTTTACCACAGACAGAGCAACTGAATGGTTTCTCTCCTGTGTGAATTCTCATGTGGGTCTTCAGGTTTGAGCTTTGGCTGAATTGTTTACCACACTCGGAGCAGCTGATTGATTTCTCACCAGTATTACATTCACTGTTACTTTTCAGAAGGTTTAAACTTGACTGAGGTTCACTGCTCTTCCTCAAGTCGCCACTGTCATCAGTCTCAGGTTCCAAAAAGTCTGAAGCCTTGTCATCAGTATCTGGTTGTAATTGTCTTTGTGGATCTGAGTCCCTGGTTTCTGTTTTCATTTGTTCAGTTTGTCTCTGATGAAGCTGTGAGGGCTGAGGTTTCTCTTCCTCATATTCACTCTTCACACGGACAGCAGAGAATGGAAACTTGATGGTATCAGCGTGCTGCAACCCCTGAGGCTGCTCTTCCTCCTGACCGGTCCAGAGTTCCTCCTGTTCCTCTTTAATGTGTGGCAGCTCTGGTGGGTCCTCCTGGTCCAGACTGGGGCTCCACTCCTGCTGCTCAGGAGGATCCTCTTCTTTACTCACCGACAGCAGCTGGAAGTCTGTAAATGATGACGACACATTTTAGAAAACTGTAATCTCTAAACATTTAAACATTGCTGTAATGTGTGTGTAGAAATGTTGCAGATTCTGTAAAACATATTTGGAAATACATTTTTTATAACTGTTTACCACAAGCTGAGCAATTCAATTCAATTCAATTCAATTTTATTTGTATAGCACCAATTCATAAAGGAAATGATCTCAGGACACATGTCAAAATATAGCAGGTCTAGACCGAACTCTTTATAACATTATTTACAGAGACCCAACAATTCCCACCATGAGCAAGCACTTGGAGACAGGGGTAAGGAAAAACTGCCTGTTAAGAGGCAGAAACCTCGGACAGACCCTTCGGCTCTAGGTGGGTGGTCGAGAGAGAGAGAGAGAGAGAGAGAGAGAGAGAGAGGTAAAAACAGAAGGACAGCAAGTAAATGGTTTCTTCTTTGTGTGGACAGTCACGTTGCAGATGTGCCTTTGGTACAAATCTTTTCCCACAAACGGAACGACTGAATGACTTCCCACCAGTCTGCATTCTCAGGATGATTCTGTGCGACCTCACATCACAGATACCTGTAAACCATCACGGTAATATTTCAATCAAGTGGAAAGCTGCAGCTGTCAACTAATGAAGTAATCAAGCATTCTGTCGATTATTCCATCAATGAATCAAGTCATTGGATCAGAAATGATTTTGCACTTTGTCATTTTCTCCAGGCGGTCTCTACTGCAAAGAATTTGCATCAATGATTTTTAGTAATCGAGTTTCAGCCTTGTTTCCATCATTATTATTGTTATTAAACGACATAAGGATGATCAATGATTACTCTATACTGCTCTTATTGAAACAGACTTTACGAAGGGCTTCACAATTCAGAATCAAGTTAAAGATTGTGAACAGGGAGACGATGGCGAGTGTGGATAAAAAAGAATGATTAAATTCATCACTGATAAGGCGTATACATGGTTTTAGTGTGTACACTTCATTTATACATCCGGCGCCTGCCGTCTCTACAAAGACTTAGGAGGTAGGTTGGATCTCGGACTGTAGACGGCTGCTCTGAGACTGCACGCAACCCTCAATCGAAATAGCCAACGGTAAACTAACTGCACTGACACTGTTCACACCTAACTGCTCTTGGTTCATTCAGACTGTTTTATCTGCCGAGGGAATTCGGTCAGATCTTTTAACAACGTAATCTCACAATCTGTGGATCAGTCTGTTACAAATTTCCAGTCAACTTACAGTACAGTACAAAGGATCTGGTTGTAAATGTTTACCTGGTTCTGGTCCTCCACAGTCCTCTCCATCAGCTTCTGCGTCTCTGTTCTCTTCAGTTTGATGAAGCTGTGAGGGCTGAGGTTTCTCTTCCTCCTCTTCTTCACTCTTCACAGAGACTGGAGAGAATGTGAACTTGATGATATCAGCCTCCTCCAGCCCTCCAGGCTGCTCTTCCTCCTGACCGGTCCAGAGTTCCTCCTCCTCCTCTTTAATGTGTGGCAGCTCTGGTGGATCCTCTTGGTTCAGACTGGGGCTCCACTCCTGCTGCTCAGGAGGATCCTCTTCTTTACTCACCGACAGCAGCTGGAAGTCTGTGGATGATATATTAAAAAATATTTCAAATAGTACTGGGCGATAAAGCGATTGTTATACGGTACACAGTCAGTAACAGTCAGTCTACAGTTTTAGATTTGCAAGCCCATCTCGTACTGCAGAGCACAGGTTGAGCTAATGTTACCGGTGAAGAAAGTGGACGTTAAAGTGGATTTCCTTTGAAAAAAATCCAAGTCACAAAGTGCTTCACAAGAAAAAAGCCTTAAAAACAGTAAAAGAAGCAAATAATAAAACATAAGAAACAACAGATCATAACATTAGACAGCTAGAATCTACAGGAAGTGTGTCAGAACCACCACTTCAAAGGCAGAGACCCTGAAAACAAGAACCTTAGAATACATCTTGGACTTAATGTAAAGCCGTTTAGATGGATGGGACCTGCTGGACCGGGTCTACAGAAGCGTTCTGGACCATTTCGGTAAGATAGTTAACTCAATCAACTCTTTTTAAAAACTCTTGGATCTATATATATATAATATAATATAAACATCTATAGCAGTATAATGTACATACACATTAACGCAGCAGTAATAGTAACGCAAAATATAGAATAGTAAAACACTGACAGCAAACATTTTACTGCACATTTTTACTAAAGTAAGGTTTTGAATGGAGGATTTTAACTGTGTGTTATTAGTACTTTAACTGTGTTATTAGTACTTTAACTGTGTGTGTTATTAACTGTGTGTTATTAGTACTTTAACTGTGTGTGTTATTAACTGTGTGTTATTAGTACTTTAACTGACTGTGTGTTATTAACTGTGTGTTATTAACTGTGTTATTAGTACTTTAACTGTGTGTTATTAGTACTTTAACTGTGTTATTAGTACTTTAACTGTGTGTGTTATTAACTGTGTGTTATTAGTACTTTAACTGTGTGTTATTAGTACTTTAACTGTGTTATTAGTACTTTAACTGTGTGTGTTATTAACTGTGTGTTATTAGTACTTTAACTGACTGTGTGTTATTAACTGTGTGTTATTAACTGTGTTATTAGTACTTTAACTGTGTGTTATTAACTGTGTTATTAGTACTTTAACTGTGTGTTATTAACTGTGTTATTAGTACTTTAACTCTGTGTTATTTGTATTTTAACTGAAGTAAATGTTCAAACAGTTCAAACTGAGAATAAATAAATAAATATATTTTATATTAAAATAAAGTGTACAAACCTGCAGGGTTACTTAAAGCAGCGTCCAGTAGTTGGTGAGACATTTTCTCTCATTCACAGGAACTTTATCCTCCGGTACAAACTCTGTTCAAACATTAAATCACGTTCCTTCTATTTCCAGTTAGCACGCTAAGCTAACTCCATTAGCTCCGCGGCTAACATTAGCTTCCAGGAGATAACTCACATATTAAACGTTTTCTAAATAAAGTGAGCAGCACAGAGTCTCTTCAGACAGCTTCATGTGGACATTGTTTACTCCGTTAGAGAAACAGTTTGGTCTCTATTGAAGCTACACCGACTAGCGCTGTGCGGCCGAGCTCCGGCTACTTCCTGTAGCAAGCTAACTTCCTGTAGCATTCGTTGCTAACAGGAAGTGACTCTGCGGTGAAACATCCGTGAAGTTTACACATAAAACCTCCATTTGAAGGAATTTATGCACAAATACAGACTCTGATAATTCAGTCTGGTTGTATTGTCTGACAACGGTCGTGATACGTAACGTAAACATTGGTTAGCTAGGTTGCGACATTAGCCTCAGTAAACCCCGCCCTCCTCTGCCTCTGATTGGCTGGATTCCTTTGTGGAGGAATATGATTGGTTGGGGTCAGAACAGAATGCCAGGACGTCATGACTTTCAAAATAAAACTGGTCAAACTCTTATTTTACTTAAGTAAAATGTCATAAATCAAAATGTATTAATTATTATACATGGTAATGTATGTATACTTAATTAATACACCAGATTATTGATAGTATCATATTTCATAATACATAATAACTATAAAAACATTTCTGTATAGAGCAGTTTTCAAAATAAAGTGACAAAGTGCTTTGACTAATAATAATAATCATAATAATAACTTTATGTACATGCACCTTTCTGTCTATGCAGTTCATACATTTAAAAATGCAAATTCTTACATTCTCCAGTTGTAAAAAGGTGTAGTCATTTAATAAAAGAGAAAATAAGAAAACCTGATATAAAAGTATTTCTACTACCTGTCTACTAGATGGCGCCATGAAGCTTCAGCACAGTGCACAGTAAGTACCACAGTTCAGTAACTTCCCCACCAATGAACAACATTTCAGTTACACGTAAATGAGCCGCCATAGTTCAGTGTCCAGTACATTTTATTTGACTTTATTTCCTGCTGTTGAATAAGTTACAATTGATGCTACATAATTATTTGTTTTTTGATAAATCAACACACATACTAAAGCACCACAAGTCTTTCTCAGTAACTTCACATGGTTTACAATAAGTTTATGACTGATTAGTCATAAATCAACACACAATTAATCATTAAAACATTGTAATTACTCATTTATTCCTGCTACACAGATGAAAATGTTTAAGGCGAGAGAATAGTATAATCAGTTTTCAGTACTCGTTTCAAAAACACAGGAGCAGGAAGGTTACTGTGTTAAAATAAAATAAAAAATAACTTATAAATGACCTGTAACAAGTCAAAATACTCTTCAACTACTGGAAGATTGTTGATGAAAATACAACTTTAAAGGCTGTTTCATAGAAATAAAGAACCTGGTAGGAAGGAGATTAGTTATCATGTACTTATTTCTTTCAACTGACTTGAAGCTGATCATTAAAGTAGATGTTTACGGGACTTTAAATAAGACTTTAAACCGCCGCTCTGAGTGAACCTAGAAGCTGAGCTGGGCCCGGAGGGATGTATTTGCAGTCACTTGGAGGTTAGTTGTGCTATAAAGGTAAATCAATCACAGGTCACAGGTCAGATGAAATATTGTAAACAACACAAAAAAAAACAATTAAAATGATCATGTGACTCCAAATTTGACCAAATTGACTAAACTAAAATACATTTCCTGTGTATTTTATACACAATATGGTTTCAGTTAGCTGGGATTCTTTTTCCCCAAATGTCAGTTAACTAATCTGAAACTATACGATGTCAGCATACAGACTGCAGGCACACTCTAAAAATAATTTATTGATTATTTATGAGGCCTTTATATGGCTTTATTTTGATAAGACTTGTGAAAATAGTGCTTTAGAGTGCTTTGACTGAAGTAGACACAGTGGTTACACCCGTCTGGAGAGAAGTTTTTATGAGAAATTTTCTAGTTTACTTCTATTAATCCGATTGAATCCTTTATCACAACTGATTAGTTGGTTCTGTGTGGACTCTCGTGTGTCTGGATAAAGAGGTTCTGTCACTGAAGCTTTTTTCACAAACTGAGCATGTGAAAGGTTTTTCTCCTGTATGAATTCTTACATGTGCGGTCAAAGTTGCACTTCGTGCGAATCCTTTACCGCAGACGGAACAGACAAAGGGTTTCTCCCCTGTGTGGATTGTCATGTGCTGGGACAACGTGGCTCTGAGACCGAAGGCTGCTTGACAAACGGAGCATGTGAAAGGTCTTTCCCCTGTATGACCTCTTAAGTGTAAGGTCAAAGTTGTGCTTCTTGAGAATCCTTTACCGCAGAAGGAGCAAATGAAGAGTTTCTCACCAGTGTGCTTCCTCATGTGTTGAGTTAGAGCGCTTTTGACACTGAAACTTGTTTCACAAACTGAGCATGTGTAGGGTTTCTCTCCTGTGTGAACTCGTAAGTGTGTAGTCAAAGACGAGCTTTGTGTGAATCTTACGCCACAGACAGAGCAGCTGAAGGGTTTCTCCCCTGTGTGGATTCTCATGTGCATCCTAACCACTCCTCTCCGTAGAAAGGCTTTGTTACAAACTGGGCAACTGAAAGGTTTTTCACCCGAATGAAGTCTCAAATGAGTCTTTAAGGATCCCTTCAGGGCGTATCTTTTACCACAAAATGAGCACCTAAATGGTTTCACTTCTGTTTCTGTGCCTTTGTGTTCCTGCAGGTCCTGTCCAATGCTTGAATCACATTCAGAGGAGTTATCACTTTCAGGTTCTACTGTGTTTTTCTGAGGTTTTGAACCTGACTGAGGTTCCCTGGTCTCGTCCCAATCACAACTGTCATCAGTCTCACTCTCAGAGGAGTCTGACGTCTCATCATCAGGATCAGACTGTAAATGACTACCTGGATCTGAGTTCCCGGCTGGTTCTGGTCCTCCACAGTCCTCTCCATCAGCTTCTGCGTCTCTGTTCACTTCAGTTTGATGAAGCTGTGAGGGCTGAGGTTTCTCTTCCTCCTCTTCTTCACTCTTCACAGAGACAGGAGAGAATGTGAACTTGATGATATCCGCGTCCTCCAGCCCTCTAAGCTGCTCTTCCTCCTGACCAGTCCAGAGTTCCTCCTCCTGTTCCTCTTTAATGTGTGGCAGCTCTGGTGGGTCCTCCTGGTCCAGACTGGGGCTCCACTCCTGCTGCTCAGGAGGATCCTCTTCTTTACTCACCGACAGCAGCTGGACGTCTGTGGATGATAATCAAACACAGGCACATTTCAGAACTGACACCACTCCTTTCTTGAATGTACAGACACATTACACAGTTTGTACAACATATTTGGAAGAGATTCAAATTGAGTGCACATGCGAAACCACTGGTCCTGTCGGTTGAACACAAAGTGTTTTACTGCTGAAGAATGTGAAGAAGCTGCATCTTAGAGAGAAACTTGAATTCAGAAGCTGCACGGTTGTTGTTTTTTTATTCAACGAGTAAAATAGATATTTCCTTTCTTGACATTTGGTGAGTTTATTTACTTTATTAAGGCTGTTAGAACTTGTTGGATGTCTCAAACTTGCTGCGCATCTCCCAGCCTAAACTACGAAGTTCATCCATATACATCCAAAAGCGTAGAACACACATTGTGTGAAGTCCTCGAGTAATGAGCTCTGCGTCTGTCACCGCGAGTTTGTAAACACAACAACCACTACTCTTTGCGGTTGCGTATTGCATTCACTTGAAAATGTAATTTTTGGTTTGTTTTTTCGAGTAATTTTTTTTCCTTCTGTATTTCGGACAAATTTTTTTTCTGAGTTTAGAGAGCATTTGAAACAATAGACGCATTCATTCCTTTATTGAGAGCTCGATTTAACAGAAACAAACATAACCGGCTTGTTTAGTTCAATCAAGTTTTACTTTGATCTGGTTTCAGACACTGGGAGATAGTCCTGTCTTTAAGTCATATAGATGGTATTATCATTAGTTTGTCGACTCTACGCAGGAACCAGAGATAGGTAGTTGAAGATGGGGCATGTATGTGTGGGCAGGAGTCACCATCGGTCCATGGGAGTCACTGCAGGTTGGAGGTTCTCGCGGGAGTATCTCAATAATTCAGAAAAAAATAAATTACTCAGAAAAACGCAGTTGTTTTTTTTTTTCAAGTGAATGCAATACGCCCCCCCCCCACGAAATAAACGTTTACTACCCATTGGTAAGGTTGTAAATGAGGGACTTTTACTTGTAATGGAGTATTAGCACTTAAACTGAAGTAAACAGCTGCAGCACTTTAAAGTGAAATAATATAATAATAATAATAAACAAAACGAACAAACCCGCTCTGTGTATCCGGACTTCGGGCTTTAAAACAGCGTCCAGTAGTTTGTGAGACATTTTCTCTCATTCACGTTTCTTCTATTTCCAGTTAGCACGCTAAGCTAACTCCATTAGCTTCCAGGAGATAACTCACATATTAAACGTTTTCTAAATAAAGTGAGCAGCACAGAGTCTCTTCAGACAGCTTCATGTGGACATTGTTTACTCCGTTAGAGACACAGTTTGGTCTCTATTGAAGCTACACCGACTAGCGCTGTGCGGCCGAGCTCCGGCTACTTCCTGTAGCATTCTTCTTCTTCTTCGTATAAGATTCCGGCAGTGTAGACGCTGTTAAGCGTATTACTGCCCTCCACAGGTCAGATTTAGAACTAAATTCTCACATACAATCCTGTATCATGCAGAAACTGCAGAACTGCACCGGAGACCAATTTGTATTTCTCACTGTGTCCAACAGAAAAAGCCTCAACTCCAAGTCCTGTCAATCTAACAAATAATACCTTTCTCTCTTCCCTATACTTTCTACATTCTAGGAAAACATGCCCTACTGTTTCAAGGATCCCACATTCACACAATCCAGAAACATGTTTTCCTACAATGCACAAAGAATCATTTAACCCACAATGACCCAACCTCAATCTACAGAGTTTCACTGAATCCCTACAAGACAGAGAATCACATAAACTTATTTTCCTAACTTTAGGTTGTATAGAAAAGAAGTGTCTACCCCTGGCTTCCCTTTGCCACCCTCTCTGCCATTCTTTCAGCCCGCTTTGATTATTTCTCTTAATGCCACTCTCCCCATGGATAAATGGACATCTACTTCTCTGCTTAAGCTTTCCTTTGCAGTGCGGTCCACCTGCTCATTCCCCCTAACCCCAGCGTGCCCTGGAACCCAGCAAAAAGTAACGCTGCAAGCAAACCACATTCTAAAAACCACATTCAAAATGTCATTCACAATGTCAGGATGAGCTGTAGATTGTCCTGCTCTTAAAGTTTCTAGTGCAGCTGCAGAATCAGAGCAGATAGTGACTTCTTTAGGTCTGGCTTCCTCAATCCACCATAAAGCCCATAGAATTGCCATTAACTCAGTAGTGAAAACAGAGCTTCCATTAGAAATACATCGACCAATCTTCAACCCAATCTGCTCCACATACACCCCAAAACCAGCTCTCCCACTAACTGGATCTCTAGATCCATCTGTAAAAACAATTAAAGTACTCTCACTGATTGAACTAAGATGTTCCACTATTCTTGGAGTCACTTTCCTCTTATCTTTTTCCTGAAGAAAAGAAAGCTCAATATTCAATTCAGGCATCACCCAATAGGGCATAGGTAGCCATCTTGTGTGCTCTACATTACCTCCCTGTTCCAAGCCCAGCTTCTTAGCCCACTGGTTTACAGTGACAAAAAAAATATTATATTTATTACCTACTATCTCTTGTAACAGACACCTTGCTGCTTGCCCAGTACTGTAACCCTAACTTAATGCGCCTTAACCATAAGGGCATTTCTCCCATTTCAACAAGCAGGGCAGGGACTGGGGAAGTTCTAAAGGCCCCACAACAAAGCCTCAATGCCTTTGCATGCACCACATCTAACTTATCCAGAACAGTTTTAGAAGCAGATCCATACACAAAGCTCCCATAATCAAGAGCAGATCTGATCAAGGCCTGAAAAATTACCAACATCGTCTCCCTCTCAGCCCCCACTCACACCCAACCAGACTTCTCATAACATTTAGAACTATAGAACTTTACCTTCTCCAATAAAGACCCATACATATACAGCCCTATATTAGGTAACTTTCTTTTAAAACCAAATACAACATATTTAGTCTTAGATGCAGAAAATTTGAAGCCCCATGTGTTCCCCCATTCCTCTATAGACAATAATACTCTTTGAATCTGTTTTAAAACAAACTCTACATTACGCCCTCTTTTCCAGATGGCCCCATCATCTGCAAATAGAGATAACCCAAATCCTCTTTCTATTTTGCCAAAGATATCATTAATCATTATATTAAATAAAACTGGACTGATAACACTTCCTTGCGGGGTTCCGTTCTCTATTTCTACAGTCTTTGAACAGACACTACCAACCATTACTTGTATTGTTCTTTTCATTAAAAAATCCTTAATCCAATTAAACATTCGTCCCCTTACTCCCAAGTCAAATATTTTAATCATTAATCCCTCCTTCCACAAAGTTCCTGTAGAATTCTTCTTCTTCCCTTAATTTAACGGCAGGTCGCCAACAACTTCTACCACCACCTGCTGCTTAAGAGAGGTATGGAAGCTCATTTGTGACAAAAGAAAGAGATTCTATCAGTCATTATAATGACAAACTTACTCAATATTTTCACTTAGTATCTCAAAATAATGAGAATCTTTCTCCATATTTTGAATTTGTATCTTAAAATAAAGATTTTTGAGAGTTTCTGATTATAATGACGTACAGAATCTTTTTTTTCCTCTGTTACATTGGTGGAAATGGATAAGCGTGTGTACCATCATGTCATTTATCCAGCACTTACCTGCTGTATTATTTAAGAAAGCAAAGAGTGACTTCCTGGTGACTTACTTCCTCTCTTTCTGTTCCCAGAATTCCCATCAGGTTCCACTCCTGTCCCCTCTTTGATTTTGTAATATGAGATTTTTACCATTTCTCTCTCCACAGTTCCCACATTCATCACTAGCAATCCTTTAGTATTCTTGGCTAACGGGACAGGGAACCTCCAGAGACCCAGATAACTGCCAGTGAAATAAGATGCGATAAAATGTCTGTTTAATGAAGATAAACATTTAAAGATCAAATACATGTTGACCTGGAATATGTGGGAGTTGAGCACATGTTTCTATTACTTTGGTTCCATAAAGCAGCTTTAGTGAGTTTTAACTGACTGTTAGTTACTGCTTGTATCTGGTTGTATCAAACAAAAAGAAAAATTGAGACCTATTATTTAATGTGCATTTTATCATTCTGAAGAGACTAAAATCATTTATTTTAACTGCACATACAGTACAAACAATACACATTCTGTTTTGTCTCAACCCTAGTTGACTGTTCTTCTGGAGTTTCAGGAATCAGGGCATCATTACTAAAACTTCTTTCTGAGTTACCTGAGGATCAAACCCACAACCTCAAAAGCTTCTGAAGAGCAAATAAAACACAGTTTGAGACAAAGGATCTTTCTTTCTGACATCAGCATACAGTGTTCATTTAACAGTGACATAACAAAAAGGTATAGTGTTTGTTACAACACAGCAGAAGCCTGTTATAGACACACTAGTTGGTATGTTTAACAATGACAAAATGTTTCTTTGACAACAAATAAATGCAAAAATTACAATGTTGGATGGTACAAATATTATATTTTTGAATTTGGGCCAACCAATAGGTTTTTTTCAGGAATAATTCTGATACTGATTATAATGTAAACTTAATTCTCACTTTAAACTGCTGGAAACCAGCTGTGGTGCAGTATTAAGATCATATCTTAAGTGTACTGAACTAGCTTATTATAACTCTCCTCATTATCTGTTAATGTGCTTCAGTTACTCCCTGAAGATGCTAATAATTTCACTCTAATTGTGTTTGGATATTAGTGCTTGTGTTTGTGAACTGGACTTTTATTTGCATAGAAAGGGTGAAATGTTTGCATATTCCCTCATTCAAATGCACAACTGTTAAATGTTTTTATTTGTTTTGTTTTTTAAAGTTAATTAACAGGAACAAATGAGTAAATAAAGGTTTACTAATGAGTCATTGTTTGTTGATTTATGATATTAATTTATTGTAAACTTTTTGTAAACCATTTGTAAACACAAATAGTTGTAGAACAATATGTTATCTCATCATCTGTAGCATTAATTGCACATGCACTGTAAATAATCTTTATGTATGTAAGTAAAGTTGAACAAACTGAACCCAAAATCAGTAGTTCAAATTTTCATTAAAGTTTTTTGATTAATTTAATACAGTAACTTAAATATATATGTAACTGTGACCCCGTACAGACTGAACTGATCTCTTCAGCAGTGAGAATGTTTCTCTAACAGGAGGAAACTCTCCCTCCTACAGTGAACACAGAGACACTGAGGAACCAAAACAGGACCAAAACCCCACTCCAAACCCAAAGCATGGATAAAGAGGTTCAGTGAATGTGGTGTTGAAGGTGTGGAGGTGGATCAGTGTGTCAGAAGAGACTGTGTAGAATGACAGAGTGCCAGCAGGACAGTCCACATACACTGCTACTCTGTTAGAGACAGACGAGGAGGAGGAGGAGGAGGAGGAGTCGGAGGAGATGGATGTTCTTCTGTTATTGTGCCAGACATAGAAAACACCATCAGAGCAGATCAGACTCCAGGACTGATCATTCTCTCCAAACACACAGTCCTCACTGTCTCCTCTCCTGTTGATTCCTCTGTAAGTCACTGATATTGAAACTCTTCCTCTCCACTCGACCTCCCAGTAACAGCGACCAGTCAGACCATTTCTACACATTAGCTGAGGACATTTGTCAAATCTGTCTGGATGATCAGGATATAACTGATCCTCCTCCAGATATGTGGCCTTCCTGTTGTTGTCAGACAGTTTGAACCTTTTGTGTACTGTGTTTGTGTCGACTGTGAGTTCACAGGAATCTGATGGAGAGAACAAGACACAATACAGCTGCAGTTATTGATCTATCTGATCATTGATTGACACTTTGATGATGACATCAGAGCTGTGAATGAGTGATGTCACAGTGTGAAGATGGTTGAATGTGTGCTGCTTTGTTTTCACACTTACACTTCCTCAGACCTGGTCTCAACCATTGGACTCCAGCAGGCTCCACCCTGAAAGGAGGAGGGGGGTCAGAGCAGCACATCCTCTTTCAGCATGCAAACATGGACATTACATCAGTGTCATACACAGATACACAATGTGTGCATCGCTGCTCCCCCTAAACTCTCCTCATACACTGAGAGTGAGCCACAGGATGTTGGTGTGTTATGTACTATGCAACGAAATTAAGTTGTATGACTAGGTTCAGGAACAAAGACCACACCTAGTACTCATCTAATTTCCGCTCAAAACATACTTAAGCACACCTTATCCATTCACTCCCCCCTCGACTCAGTTTCCACATCCCTACCCCCGAATACATTCTTTCCTTTACCCCCGTATCTCTTATCTAAATACAGGAACCACTGGGGCTTTCTACAAGAGATACGAAGAGACGGCTCCCCCACTCAGAGTCTCACGGCTCCCCCACTCGGTTCCCTCTTACCATCTTACCGAT